AGTCTTTTCATGTTGCCAAGGTTGGACACCTGTGTTCTAATCTAAAGTAAACCTATACAGAGCAGAAGTTCAAATTACTCGTGTCTTAGAAATCAGAGAAAATCAGCCAGATGAAAGTTCTGTCGGTAAAGCATACCATAATTGAAGTGCCATAACATGAGAAACAGATCTTGTAACCATTTCTATATCTCAGAATAGATATATTTCTTGCAAAATGTCTTTCTCAATCAATTGGTCGAAGACAATTCAGCTTATGTTATGTAATCACTGTTACCAAGCAGCAAAAACATAAAAAAACAAACCTTTTTTTACTGAACAGGAAGCTCAAATCTTCTTTGCTAAACTGACAGAATGATTTGCTTCTACTGCTGCTTCGCCTGACCTCCTTCTCTATTTTATTGGAATAATACTTCTATCTTACCTTATCTAATCTCCATATTAATGTCGCTATATGCTTAACAGGGAAAAAGTACTATTTGCCACTTTATTCTTAATTCATCAAATATCCTGGGAAATGGCATCCAAAGCATTAATTCTTTTTAGACAATATATTCACTTAATATCCTCCCAATCATTTAAGGTATTCTAAAAAGATTATCAACGTTGGGTTTACTCTCAGATCTTACTCTAGACTATTTTAAAAAACTAAATTTCCACTCTAGTTTTTAAAAAATATTTTATATGAATACAGGATTCAAACAAATTTATAGTTAATCATTTAAGTCTCTCTAATTTTTAGATTCATTTTTACATTTAAAGTTAAAGTCTTTTATTTATATTTTTGTTTGTTTTTGCAATTCACTTGTCTACTGTCTTATTTTACTTTATTTTTCAGTTTGAATTCTGTCCTTCTGTCGGGATTAGATAATTATATTTCAGTCCATGACCAGCTTATCAGTCGGTCATGGAATTGTCTCCTACTTTGGCAAATGACCATCATAATAAACAGAGACATAGTACTGACAAAGCTAAGAGCTAAGTAAGCCTGTGAAGAATAACAGATATGTTCTAAAAGTGCATTCCTGTTTTATGACCATTATTGAAGGTCTTTGTCACTTCAAGATAGCATTTATTTCTGAAGTAAGATCTGATATCTTATTTTTATACTCCAAGTTAAGAAGAAGAGCTAGAAAACTCCTCAACCCCTATATGGTGATATTTTTCCTGAATGGATAGTTTTATAAGACTAGATCTAACTACAGGAAGTTTAGAAGTCACAAATTAAATAACTAAACCTTCATTTTATAAAACAACAGGATAACATTTATGGAAAAATAAGCTCCTATTTTTGGGAGACCTAGCTACCTGCCTTCCATCTAAAGGTCAGATAACAGGAATTCGTGGTAAGTTAATTTCCGTTTTCTTCTAGCTTTGCACAGGGTATCCGTCTTTTCAGGATGTAACAGAGCAAAAGTACCAGGGGGTAGCTTCCTAGAATTCTTTAAATTATTGTTGCCTATTTTGTTACCATTTGTAAAGGGTATATTTGTCTTGCTTGTAAAGTATCATTATCTTGTATAGGTTATCCTAGAAATTAAACTTTAAACGTTGCCGTGTTGCTGGCCTACTAGGATAATAAGCTCTGACAACCCTCAATCAATCTCAAAATAATAAATATTTCATGATACCAGTGCACAGCCCTGTAATAAGTCATAAAGGAGGCCACAGATATTTTAATTTTCACTCTTCTCTCCAAGCAAAACTCAATATTCTGAACTTATCTAGTCAACGGAGGATATGAAATAACAGCGGGTACCAGGGACCGGTTCCGTGGAGAGAAGTTTTTCTGTGGACCAGAGGGGGCGTGGTTTCGTGTGCTGCCTGCATCCCATGGATGTGGCTTCGCTTGTTTGTGCGGCCCGGTTTCTGACATGTTGCAGACTGGTGCTGGTCCACGGATCAGGGGTTGGAGACCCCTGAAATAACTGGCCAAAATAAAGGAAGAGAAAATGCTATTGAATGTATAGCATGGCTAAGACTGGAGATGTCACCCCCCTCCTCAGGCCTGTGGGTTTACACACTTCCCTTGATGTAGAAGCTTTGCAGTTATGCTGCTACCACCTATCTTCAGTGTGGTCATCTCACCTTGCTCAAATCATAGCAAAATATAAGGCAATGGCTTTGTAAAAAGATTCCTAATGATAAACAATTAGTACAGAGACGACATATTAAACTTAAACATACAATCAAGGTTATAATCTTACCCAATATTTCTAGCTATTGCTTTAATTTATCCTTTTAAAGAAACTTGTTTAAAATAGATCCTCCTCTATCTGAATTCTTCTTGGATTTCTCTTCCATTATCTCTGAAGATTGGAGGGAGTTAATTTGGAGCCTGCTGGGAGGTAGAATAATCCCCATTTCTCTTCTCACACTTGGTTCCTGTGTTTCTTTTTTAAAGTTTTCTATCAAAAAGGGAAGGGCTAGGGGTAATCTCATTGCACATGTGATCTTCAACCATGTCTGTTAGAAAGATCTGCTTTGGAATAGAGGAGTGTGTGAACATCCTCCCTGGAAAGTAATCTGTTGTTCTTGTGAATGCTGGGTAACATCACACAAAAAAAAGTGGGGGGGGGGAAAGGAAATAATTTTGGGATCAAATAGTAGATTTGGGCATAAAATTATTTTGAATGAAAAATGTAAAGCCAAGGAAAAATGTAAAACTCCAGTTCATGTTCATAAGAAAACATGTCAGCATATGTATCAGGCCTTGTGCTCAAAAGAAACATGTTAGAGCTGCCAAAATCCAATTTAGATTTCACGTAGAAATGACAATCTACATAATAAATCACATGTAGATTTTAAAGAGTTACTTCTCTCAAGGAATGCTTAAACTATGGATATATGGAAAGAGGTCATGTCCTTTACAGATCAGAATGCCACTGAATGCTGCTATTTGGTAAACTTTTTCCGGCTTCCCCCATCCCATCCAGTTCAGGACTGCAGTCTCTTGTCTTGGGCAACTCTCTGGAATGTTCTGCCTCCTTTCTGGGATGTTGAATGCTACTACCATCCTCCTCCTCCCCCCCCTCTTCAGCTGTCCATTCCATCACATAGCCTTAAACCACTAATATCTATTAATAGATGAAAGAGTTTTGATGAGGGCAAAGATTAATACTTATTATTGAAAATCCTGTTATAATGGAAGCTTCCAGTGAAATTTCACATGGTTTAAGAAGCAAGTTGTCTGAAATAACAAGGACCTATTAGGTTGGACTTTGCTTTGATCCTTCTGGTAGTTTGAGGAAGCTGGAGAATAAAAGGAAATAAGTACCACAGCTCTCTTGGCCCCTAAACTTCTACTATGTTTGTTTCAAGAGCTGTACACAAGAAACCTAGACAGGAAAAGAAGCAACATCCTGTTTTCTTTTGTTGCAGAGTCCCCAATGCTGGATTCTGCTTCAATTATGTTAACCACACTATATGCCTTTAATCTCCCATCCTGGTAAAGACATTTTCTGAACTGCAAGTCATTAAGGACCATCTCTAAGATCCCAACTGTTGGGTAGGAAAACATTTTTCTTTCTTTCTGTAACAACACTGTATTAATCCCCAGTCTCTTCTATGTCTTCCATTTGCTAAAGAGACTGTCAAAATGAGATTGTCTATTATGTCTAAGAGATGTCAAAACCCCAAAGTGATAAAAGTCTTTTGCAAATTCTAATAATTTCCATACATTCTCCACAGATGACAACAACCATTTTGAAATGATTAAATACAGTAAACTGGTCTTTACAAAGAAACGCACATCACTGAGAAGGAAAATGACAATAAAACAGTAAATCTTTATGACACTTTAAATCTATAGACAAACTCAGCTCTTTTGATCCCAGCATAGAACCGGAAAGGAGTTTGAAATATCAGCACACATGACATATTTAAGGGAAAAAATAGGATTGATGACAGGGAGGAGATAACTGCAAAGGGTTGGCAATGTAAGGATTTAAAACCCTTCTGCTTCTGAAGAAGCAGAATCCTACCAGAGTTTCGTAAATATGTCTTTAACTTAAATACACCTCCTATATTTCTACGTCAGTGAAGACATTCAATGATGAGGAGTATCTTGGGCAACTGGAATGAATGAAAGAAGAAGGGTATCTGGGAAATGAATTTGTAAGGGGAAGTATGAAACTATTTCATCACTTTAAAGCTGGATTGCAAAAGCCACTGCCACTCCAAAGTTTTTCTGAGGTTAATGTAGACCAGACCACTAAAATTAAGTTCCTCTGAATCAGGAAGATATGAGACCTGTGAACAATTCTATATTTATCAAGGTTTTTTTTAAAAAAAAGCTTCCTTTTGTTTCAGTTAATGATCACATTGAAGTCACTCTTATCCTCACTCAACCGCTCCATGGCACATGGAATTAACATGATTAAGGATAAATTCACCCAAATATATTTTTTTAAGGGTGGGAGCAATGGCACTTAAGTGTTAGCCACAGGCAGCTGCAGGCAGGAAGTCTGCCACCAAACTGTAATTTTCCATCAATCACCTGTCTTCTGAGTTCAAATCACCTTTAACATCCTCTGGTTTAAATCACCTTTAACGTCCTATCTGTATCCTATGCCCCCTTCACCCCAAGATAAGACCAGTTCAGTCATGTTTGTCCTCTTGGGACAAGTTACAAGTTAATTTCAGGGGAGTTTTACAAAAGAGGAAAGGGAAAATCCTGACAGATACCGTTATATGAGTTCACATAATACATTCAACTATAAATTGATCAAATGGTGTGAATTTGAAGAACATCCTAAAGCAAGAAACACACACAGACACATGAAATCTAACCAACATTAATCAAAAATAAATCTGATATGTTGTGCAAATGAATCCATTAAGGATTTATCTAATTAATTTAAGAATAGATTAAGAATGTTTTGTGAATAAACAGAACATGTCCATAATATGTAAAAAGACTGTTAATTTTATGAAGGATTAACTTTATAAATGGATAAATCCATTTCACAAATAAACTATATCACGCAGAAAAAGGACTTTACTTGTCTTTGTCGCCTCATCTGAGCAACCTGAGAGATCAAGATCTGTCGATCAAGTAGCTCCATCCGCTGTTGCCTCTGTATATCAATAGTTGCTCCCATTCCAACTCCAAATTCATTAGAGGGCTCCGCCGATGAGAAAATTGGTTCAAGAGTTTGAGCAAATATCCTTGCTATGCCAGAGGGCACAGAAAGTATGTGGTACACTTTTAAAAGACTACTACTGTAGCACATTCCAGAAATCTAAAAGCAAAGAGAAATTGATAGGTTGAGAAATTGACATATTGATAGGGGAAATTCAAGATTAGTTCCCTCAGCAAAATCTATTGGATGTCAAAAATATATTTCTAATTCCAAAGCAAAACTTCAAAGTTACTAATATTCTCTGTCCCCTACATTAAGGAATCAAGAACATGTTATGATAAATGTACAATCTAGTTCTAATCTGGTATTAGAAGTAGAGTATGAGATATGTAACTATTGATTATAAGAAGTTTGTTTGTTCAAGAACTGAGAAGCTTTTGTAAATACCCATCTGAGATTCATTTTGCAGTTTGGCTTTGAATAGTTCAGTTGCTGCAGAGACAAAATTATTTCTCTGCCAACTAGCAAATGTGTTGATTGCTAGAAATCCTTTTTGTCCTTTCATAGTTGATGACCACAGCATGTTGAAGATTGGAAGTGAATACTCGGGTATTTAGATAACTTCACTTGCTCAATGAGTCTGCCATTAAATTTCCAACTTGATAATTATCAGAGCAACTTGTGGGGAAAAACAGAGCTTTTTATTTTTGACGAACTTTGGGGATTCTATTCCAATTCGTAAGAGAACTAAACAAGAATGTATTCTAGCCCACCCACCCCACCCCATTATTTAATTTGTACATTAACAATATCGTAGTTTTTGTCAATTCAGATTTTCATCCTCCATTCCTCACTTGTTGTCCAATCCCCACTTATTGTCCAATCCCCATTCTTTTGTATGTGGATGATGCATCATTTCAAAAATTAGGCTATGTAGAGATTTCAAGGAGCTTTCGAGGACTGTGATGTCACAGGAAAGTTTATTAATATTTTTCTGCCAGATGATATAATGATATAATGCTAGGCACCGATTTATTATAGAATATTCATTCTCAAATCCTGCCTGTGCTGGCACTATAATACATATACATCCAGAGAGAAGTCTAACACAACAGTTTACAAATTCCAGACAGAAAACTAATTGGATGGTAGCTTGCCTCCTTTGTTTGATATTGTGAGATGGAACTGAGTAGTTTTTAGGAATTATGTATGTGTATGCATGTGCACCTTTGAGTCAGTTTTTTAAATATGGTGACTGCCTGGACAAGTCCTTACAGTATTCTTGGCAAGATTTCTGAAGTATTTTGCCATTGTGTGCATCTTAGGACTGAGAAAGAGTGACTGGTCCAATTCATGCAGTTGGCTATGTGACTCAGGTGAGACTAGAACTCACAATCTCCCAGTTTCCTGCCTAGTGCCTTAACCACAACATCAAATTGGCTTCCAGGATTTACTATAGAGGAATTTATAATAAGAAAAAAAGTGTTTGATATCCACTATTAAGGATATACTGTAAGAATTCCAAGAGAAAGAATTTTTTTTGTGTGTAATTACTTTTTGTATTTCCACATCAGTAATTGGGGGCCATTTTAAATAGAGTCCTCTAATACAGGAATGCTTGAGATACAATCCCAAATAGGTGAAAATACACTTGATAAATGCGTGTATCAAGTGTCAAGGGATTTAATTGTGTTATGGTTCTGTGTTAACTGAGGATTTTTATATTAGAAATAAAAATAACCTATGATTTTTGTTTGCTATAGCCTGCTGGATGTCTGCCCAGAATTTCTGGGCATATTTGTTATTTTTTTTGCCTTTAATAGCTTCTTATATCTCCTTTTATGCTCAGAAAAAATCTCATAGGACTAGAGATCATTGGCTATATGTACTCCCTTGTATGCCTGCATTACTTGCATTTTAACCAATGCACCTTCTTTGTTGAACTATGGTTTAGATCTCTTAAGTGGTAGATGCATACATAGTAGAACAGCAGGCTGGATTATTTTGGACAATACTAATAGGACTTTGAAAAATATTAATTGTTTTATTAAAACTATTCAGAGACAACAGAGACTGCCATAAGAGGACAGTTTGGAGAACATTGAAGAACTGGGAAGTAGCAGGAGCTTGCTTGTTTGTCTATTTGGCCTGAAAAAAATGCCCCTTTTGAGGTCCTGGCAAGATTATGTTGTCTAACATTCTGAGCAAAACAAATCATTAGAAAAAAACCTGGTAGAACTTAAGCAGATCATATGGGACATAGACATTCAGGTTGGACAAAGCCAAACTTTCCCATTGCTTACACAAACAAATAATCAGAAAATCTTACCCTGAGCACTCTCTGATTATTTCTATAAGAGTCTGTATGGCCCACATAGAAAGCTCTTCTCTCTAGCCATATAGAAACTCCACTCATGATTGAGGTGTTCTTACTCTTATTGCATTACTAAAGAGGACTTCCAGTTTTGCGTCGCGGTGAGACGGATGCAGGAAGGCAGGGTCTGCCTTCCACGTCCAATTTTGCCCTGCTGGGGGCCCTAAAATGGGCCCAAAGTTGCCCCAAAGAGGCAATGAAGAAGGAGGGGTGTCTCGTCAATCATGGAGAGACGGCAGTCTTTCCGTTTGATCCAAGAAAAGCGCTCCAAACCGGCAGTGGAAAGACTGGCTACATTTCTATTGCCAGCCATTAGCTGCTGACAACTGAAGAAGCACCAATTAGCACATCATAAACAGCGTGTTTGGAACTGGGTGAGAATATTGATCCTTTCTTTACTATTTTGCAACTGAATTTCCTGGGAAAGGCTCACAAGAAGCTAAAAACCTCCGAATATGAACGGAAGTGGCATTTTAATTTTTATGGGGGATAGAAATACACAATATTGAAGTGGAAGTAACATAAAGCTACAGTTTTGATAAATTTGAGAACTGAGATAATTGTTAAGATTTTCTCTTTGGAAAAAAAACATTTGAGGTGAAATATAAGAAATCAATCCTTTGTCTTAAGAGTAGAAAATGGATTTTGAATGACATCTAGTAGTGCTTGGTGACTCCTAGCTTAAGGGAGAACAGCTGGCAATAAAGGAAAATATTTTGGCATACTTATCACCCTGACCTTTTTGGGCTATAAACACCTACTGAGCTTGGACTTTTAATCTCAAGAGCTAGTGGGAGAGAAAGAAAAATTTGACCTTTGATTACGTCTGGTTGGGAGAGACTTTTTAGCTGTTTTCAGGGAGGTTGAACATTTTGAACACTTTGAACACTGTGGATTACAACCTTGCCTGATTGACACTTTTTGGATGCCTGAGATAAAGGATCACTATAAAATATTGCTTTTGGGACTGGACCTGTATTTTGGAACCTATTGGATTACAAAGGCTACATATAAAGACCAGAACACCAGAGGAAACTTTGTTCTACTCTTACTGAGACTGGTGATACTAGAGGATCTCCAGAAATGATGCCTCAAGAAAAAACAAACACCTTTCATAAGGAAATATACTCTATGCTACAACTAATTCACCAAACAATTGTTGCATACAAAGAGGACATAAAAATGGACATAATGAGATTAAATGGACATAATGAGATTAAAACTAATTTAGATAATATAAATGTGCGAATCTCCAAATTAAATCTACAACTAGAAAGTTCCCAGACAATGACTACAAAGTATGAACAAATAAACCAGAAATCAGAAGATGAACCAGAGGAAATGGACCTAGAGATGCAAGAGATAAAAGAAGAGAAATATAAACTACCATATACAATAAAATACTGCAAGACTTACCCATAACAATGAAAATGCAAAAGACCCTTTACCTCTTAAGTCTGCAAAATACACCTGATGACAAGGAAGAAGATTTTAAAAAATGGAACATATAGTTGTCAAGGGAAATATTACAACTTGGGAGACAAATTGAGAGAGAAGGAAATTGGGAGTTGCTTAAGGAACATAAATGGGCGAAATTCCTCCCAAAAAATACCCTACCTAAATTGTCTTCCTCATGCCAAGCAACTTTCACAAAAATAAAAAATTCCTGGGTGATTTAATTGCCTTGGCTTGGAAAGCTACTTGGCAAAGAAAGAAAGCGAGAGTTAGATTTAAAAAATTGAAGATTTGACCTATTAGAAGGGGCATTATTTATTTAAATATTGTTTGAATATGATTAAAAGAAAGGATGACCCTTAGATATAATTAGACTTTTATAATGAAATATATGATTTAGAATTAAAATAGCATTTTTTTCTTTTTTTGATATGGGAAATATGAAAATAGGATTGGTATGAATAAAATTTTTTGCTCTATAAATGTAATTAATATTGAGAAAAGCATAACTGACAAAGATACTTCAAATATTGATGGGAAATCAAACTTTAATGAGAGCACGAAAAACAGGATATTGATTTATGAATTGATATTATTATTTGTATAACATTAGTAAAACATGATGAAGATGTTTATATCTAACTTTGTATGCATCAATAGGACCAAGAATTGTAACTGTGTAATGAGGGAAAAATGGAAAAAATATGGGGAAGGAGGATCAGGGAAAAAATACTGGATTGTGCACTACTGAATAGATTTATATTGAAAAAGTTAATGTTAAATATGTGAACCCAGACATGTTGTCTACTAAGCACTAAAGATTGTAATTCTTAAAAATTAATAAAATATTTTTTTAAAAAAAATAAATTAATAAGACTGAGGTCTTTTGAAAGGACTACCAAATTTTTCATTTATAGCCTTAATTTATAGAAATCTTTTGGTCCCTTCAATGCAATGTTCATTTTATCGGATTTCCCCCTTTTATATCTGTATGGACTATATATAATTTCCTCTCCAGATATACATTTTTTTTCTTTATTTAGTGAATTTATTAAATATAACTTGGCTCTTTTTCAGATTTATTTTTAAGCCAAATGGTTCTCCTGTTTTGTGCAACTCTTGTATGTGTCTCTGTAGCTCTTCTGGTTCTTGTGATAAGAGAACATCATCTGCAATCTTAAGTGATTTAAATAAGCGCCATTGATTTTTATTCCATTTTTTGCCCAGTCTAGTTTGTGAAACACTTCTTCACGGCAGGCTGAGAAAAGGTTAGGTGATATTGTATCGCCTTGTCGTACACCTCATTCTATGTTGATTTCCACTATTAAGA